CTTTTGACCCCTAAAACCCTCAAAACTAAACCCTAATACAACATAGTTAACTCAAATATAAATGATATAATTAATAAATAATTTTGAAAAGTGGCATTTTTGAAAATTTTCTAAAAAATTAAGATCAAACGACAATAAAAATTATAAACTAGATATTTCTTATGTGTATAAGTTATTGTTAATTTCATATTCTTTTTCATTGATAAAAATTTATTTTGTATACAAATCAGAACTGAAACCACACAAAATCATTAGTAGTAGATTATGTTTTACCTTTAAGATTGTTATTTTTTTTTGTGTGCAACACTTTGTTTTTCACTAACTTAAACTTTCGAGATTACACTCATTCATTCCACAATACATAAAAGCATTAAAAATTAGAGAAGAAAAAACATCATAGTTATACGATAGCGAATCAAAGAAAACTTCCTGATGCGTCGGTATATTGTTCACGGCTAAGCCGGAAACCATAGAATTGGTCACTTTGAGCAGTAACGTTGGAAGACTATCCATACCTCTGAGTTTCATCAAGACGAAATCGGTTGCATCTTCAGACCCCGTACATATACCTCTGAGAATTGCTAGAAGAATCTTACTCTCAATGAGAGAAGAAAGGGTGAACGAGTTCTCTTCTTCACAGAGTAAATTACAGGATTTAGAAAACTTTGATCCATTGAAAATTTTGATATCTTCTCCATTGAGAAGATATCGTGTTCAGGGAATACAAGATTTGAGAATCCAGAAAATTTTGATTTTCTCACAATAGAAAAAATGTCAGGCTTAGGATCCATCGATAGTAAAGTCAGCGTTGTGTTAAAACAAGTAATCATAACAATAACAAGGTGATAAATAGAGCGGGACCTGGGCTTGGATTGCATGAAAGATGGGCCTAGTAGGCTAAGAGCCTCAAACTCGAAATGGGCCAAGCCCAAAAATTAGAAGTCTCGTTACGGAGGGAGAGTGACCGTGGAAACGAGAAGCGTGCCCTCCGCGACGAAAAGTTGCAGTGGCTGCGTGAGATGTCACAGGACGGTTTTTGTTGCGGCTGAGAGTGGACAGAACATCTTCACATGTCATGAGATGGAGATGCAGTCGATAGATCCGGTGGATTCGGAGGGTCCGGTGGCTCCGGCGGCTGGAGACGGTTTTGCACAACACCAAAAATCATCACCGAAAAGTTGGAGACGAAGCAGATTCGATGTGCACCATCCATCAAATCTTGAGTTGCGACCGGAGTAACAAGCTTCGAATCAGATTCAAGCCGGAGATTGACGAAAGCCATGATGCAGAGTCAAGGGAAGTCTCGTAGGAATCTTGACGGCGAGAAGAGGAGCAGATGGATGGTGAGAAAAATTCTTTAGACGTCGCTTGCTGGGCCGGAGAGAAGATGGAGCGGTCGCCGATCAGGAGGAGGAGACGTCGGAGCTGAAACGCCGATGGCTGGATCTCATCTTCAATGTGTGCAGCAGCCTCGAGAAATATGTCCGAGAGAAAACGGGACCTAGGGCTTCCTTCCTCGCTCCAAATCTTTAAGATTGTTATTTATATACTAAAATTCCTAAGCTCACAATATTTAAACCAAATCAAAATTCTAATCGAACACCATTAGCAATATTTAGGTAAAAAATATTTTTTTTTATTTAGTTTCATATTTGAAAACCTAAAAAAATATTTCATCTGCATAAAGCTAATTGAACACGAATTAAATAGTGAAGGCAATGAAACATCTAAAGACCAGTATCATCAATATGTTTAAATTACCTTAATTTTTTCTGTCAACCAAACCTTAATTAAAAAATACCACCGTAATTAATAGTTCAATTGGCTGAAAAATTGTTCACAAAAGAAAAAACCACAGCTCTAGAACGGATTAAAGAATCCGTCTTTAAATTATCATATATAATTGATTATTCTCATTCCAAAAACAGCGGCAAATTGGGAGTAATATTCGATCTCTGAATAAATACCGACTCAAAATTTATCAAATATCTAAACATATTCAAATCGAAATTTTAGTTATTGTTTCTAAAATAAACATAAGATTTTTGGACTTGCAAACCAGTAAGCTCTTTATAATTTGGTTTAAAATTTCTAATTTTGGAGATCGAACGGTTTTGTTCCTGATTTGTTTGGGGGATTATTGTAATTTTGGAGATTGAACTGTTAAAACTTGGAC